CACCTACAAGAAATATCAGAGGGCCAGATGAAAAAATGGTGTTGCGAGAGTGCACTGTAAAGAACACAAAATGTAAACTCTTAAAAATAAAGGGTTCAAAAGGGGTTTTCAAGGTCATAGAAGAACCATTCTGGGTTGAAAGAATCTTTCAGTGAACAGTTCTCAAAAGAAAAAATGTTTCTTTGTGTGAAGAACATTTTAATAGTCTAAAGAACTTTTTTCCACTATGAAGAGCCAACTGTACAATGGAAAGATTCCGTAGATATTAAAGGTTCTTTATCAATGCCATTAAATGTACAGCTATTTTTATTTATCAAATTAATCGTGCTACAAATTCAACAATGCTACGCTATAAAAGAAACATGATGCTTGAAACTTCAGACTGTACAGGTACATAGTGTTTAAACACCACAATAAATTGTCCACAGACTAATGTTGGACTATTGCTTTGGACTATATGACTACAGACTATTAAATGTGAAATACTGCTCTTGTAAAATAAAAATTAATTAATAGTTTAATGCATTTATGGGTTTAAAGTTCCCTCAAATCAGTATTTCAGTTAAAAAGCAAAACAGAAGTTTCTATTTATATTTCTGGTTAAAGCCAAATCCAGAAGACATACCGGTTATGAGAGGACACAGTATTGCGAGCAGGAATAGATTCAGCCATGGTTCACACTCCATGATGTTCTTGTCAGGTTCACACAGCAAATGAATCAACAACTGAGGAAGGCCACATATTTATAGAGCAAGGTAAACAAGAGGAAGTGACTATAGACATGCGCTAATCTGTCAAATAATTTGTCAAGGTAAAACTCACTTGAATTTATTCATGCATGGACTATTAACATGATTGATCTTAAAATGATCTTAAAACTGGTTCTGAGAAATTCTTTATTTTATTCTGAAATGTAATTCAGTATGCAGGAGGATGTTTGACAGACATTGACAATGGATGAAATGAGGTTAAAAAAAAGGGAAATAAACGTAGAAAATTTGTAAAAAGATTTTAAAAAGATCAAAGAAATGGGCTTTGGGGTGTTTGACATAAATTTGGACTAATTAAATTAACAAAGTAACATTGCATCAGGATCTCCACTGTTACTATCGCATGTATAAGATAAAAAGGTCAACATCTAATAAGAGAAAATTGTCAAAATTGGACTTATTTAAAATAAATATTAATATGCATTATTCAGTGTTAATATTGTGGCTTTTGATATGTTATTTTTATACAGTCCTTTTTTTACAATTTGCTGAAAATTGTAGCGTTTACCGAAAAAAAAAGAAAAAATAAAGCTTCTAGCTTTCAGTTTCTAAATTTGTGACATATTTGTGATATTTATAAGTATCAAATTGAATGGGAACAGTGCATAGCTAATTTTGTAATGGGTAACAGGTACTTGTGTAACAGGTCTTGTTTTGTTCCTATTCTTCTCATAAAAACCCACTCCATTTTATGGTTTAAGGAATTATGCCATTTTCCCTGCATATACTTTTTGTCAAATTGTGCATCATTTTAATATTTTCATTATTTTCAATTAGATGCACAGCTTTCACAGAATCATATACCAATCTATTGGCTTGCTAGCTAATCAAGGTGTCCATGAGACAAGACTGTAAAATTCATAAATTTTTCTTCCAAAAATGTGTCCCATTAAATCTAATATAGGTAACTTAAAGTTCATCAGTAGTTTTAAATATGTGGAGAATGGGCTTCCCCTGCAAAGTCATGGTTTCTTACAAGGTTTCTTCCTTATCTTCTATAAGTATATTTCACTGTAACAATCAGCTTGCTTACTGACTTACTTTATGGGAAGTGTAGGTTTCATCAACTGTATGAGCCATTTTAATGCAATTATGTGTTTGTCCATTGGGTGGCGCACTGGAAATAGTATATTAGGGCAATTGGTTAATGAGACAACAGGTCTGTATTGGTAGTAGGGAAGCATACAGTTTTTGACTGTTTTGGACGGGTTTGGATCGTGTTTCATCATGCCAAATTATTGGATTGAACTGTATGCTGTGTCTACAAGGTAGGCCTATGGACTTTTGTATCCTATGAACTAGACAAAATTACACCACGGGAAGCTAATTGGAAGCAATGTTTACTCATTGGAGCACAATAAAGAAGGACACTGTTGCATTTTACTTCGGTTTTGCATGGACTTATTTTTACTTGCTCGCTCCTATTACCAATACTAGTGTCTTAGTGGAAGCCGCTACATAAGTCAAAAACTGAGCTTCACTAAGTTGTGAGCATAGAAAACTTGCTTCCAATGGCCTGTTTGTTGCATGTGGACGCGACTTCTTTGAAATGGAGGCTTCACTGAATGCGGATTCTTCAATCCAGTACGGATTCGTTCCGTGGACGCTGGATTTCGTCGTGGATATGTGACTAATTGAGGATTTACTTCCTGCAGGACACCGGCCCTCAAGGACCGAGTTTGGACAGCCCTGGTTTAAAGTATCTACTGCCTATATGGAGAAAGCCTTGGGTTGGCCCACTTTGAAGGCTGAAGATGTGCAGGGATTACAGGCTTATGCTTTTTGCGTACATGTTACAACACAATGGACGAACTCTCATATATGCTTAATAAATTAACATGCCTAGCAACATGAAAATGGTTGTAATGAAGTTACCTTACAAGCTGAGAGAGCAATGGAGAGCAAAGGCTTGTGAGATTATGGAGTCTAGTCATGGCAGGGCAAAGTTCTCGGATGTTGTTGAGTTAATTGAAAAACAGGTTAAGATGGCATCTGATCCTGTGTTTGGAGATATGCAAGACAAGCATGGCACAGGTAAATACAATGGTCAAAACCACAAAACCTTTACAAGAAATAGTTTTGCCACTGACATTGCTGCTTCTGCTCCAGTTAAGAAGTCTAGCAATGCTTCATCACTTAACATGCCTAGCAACATGAAAATGGTTGTAATGAAGTTACCTTACAAGCTGAGGGAGCAATGGAGAGCTAAAGCTTGTGAGATTATGGAGTCTAGCCACAGAGCAAAGTTCTCTGATATTGTTGAGTTCATTGAAAAACAGGTTAAGATGGCATCTGATCCTGTGTTTGGAGATATGCAAGACAAGCATGGCACAGGTAAATACAATGGTCAAAACCACAAAACCTTTACAAGAAATAGTTTTGCCACTGACATTGCTGCTTCTGCTGCAGTTACGAAGTCTAGCAATGCTTCATCACATCAAAGATTTTGTCCTGCATCTAAGTCTAATGGAAACCGTTTGTTTTGTACAAATCAGCATCCGTTGGAAAGGTGTTTTGCGTTGAAGAAAAGGACTCAACGAGACAAGATTGAATTCCTGAAAGCTGAAGGAAATTGTTTCAGTTGTTTAAAGACTGGACATTGTGACTAAGGAATGTGAGAATCATCTGAATTGTGACATTTGTGGAGAAACACACCCCACAATCCTGCACATATATCACAAGGAGGTAACCGTAAAAGAGCCAGAGGAAAAGCGCAAGGTAGTGTCTGCTCAAACTTGTGGTCACACAGGGGCGGGGAACGAGAGGAGTCTGATGTCAGTCATACCAGTCCAAGTCTAAGCTGTTAAAGGTAACAAAGTGATGCAGACATATGCTTTTCTGGACCCGGGAAGTTCCACAACCTTTTGTTCAGAACATTTGAGGAATGAGCTGAATCTGAGTGGAAAGAAGGTCAATATTCTTCTTCGCACCATGGGTCAGGAACAGTCTGTGTCCTGCAGTGTTATTGATGGACTGGATATCAGTGGTATAAACACCAAACATTTCTTCCCGCTTTCTGTTGTGAAATTGGAGGAGTTGCTTAACAATCAGTTCAATCATGGTTTCAAGGAAAGGACTATTGATGAAAGGGAGTTGCCCAGGCAGGATGTGGATTTTCAATCATTTTTTCCAATGGAAAGTCAAATTCAAAACCGTATTGAAGCAAAAGTGGATCAGGAAGAGGTTGAATCACTAGGAGAGTTGGAGGAGAAGAATATTAATGTGCCTAATGGAAAGGTGTTTGATGGGTGTCATGTTGACAAGTCTGTTTTAATTGAAACCCAGATTCAAGATATACAGGGACACCACCTATCTGCCAGAGAAATAATTCAAGAAGCAGTTGTAGAATCGGAAGCTTCTGACCAAATAGGTAAAAGAGGTTAAGAAACAAAGATCAATCCAAAATCAGGTTGTAAATGTTGTGCAGCTGCTTGAAGATGAAGACATTCTGAAGTCAGATGTGGTGTTAAATAAAAGAATGAATCAAAGTTCAGAGAAAGAAACAAAAGATGTAGGTTCAGAACTTAATTGCTCCATTGACCATGAATGTAAAGTTGAAAAGAAAATGCAGGAAGATTATCAGGTACTACCTACGGAGGACCACGGTGTTAATAATGATCTAGAGATCAAAGGAGATATTAAAGTAACTGCCGTTGTCTTTCAAGGTACATCAAATCTTACCAATTACTTTATAGCTTATTTCACAAAGTGGAAAAGACTGGAAGTGGCATTTGTTTGGATGTATAAGTTGCAGAATCTACTGAACAAGTTACCTTTTAAAGAAAAGGAATTACTAGCACTGAAAAGAGTTACAAAGCTATTACATCCACCATAGACACAGATGATGTTTAAAGTAATTTAGAGTAAACTGTTTGTTACTGAATCATCACTTTGAAGCTGAAATGGTTGTTTTATTGGGTACTGAATTTTTTCCTGATGATAAAGATTTATTATACAGTAAAGATTCTGGAACGACCTGTACGTTTTGTGTTTGGGAGGTAAATGATTCATATTCACGTGGTTTGATTTGTTATTACACTAACAATACCTTGAATTTATTATCAAATGTTTATACATGTTGCTTTATTTGTTATGGCTCATTTATGCATGTTTTTTGTAATTGTTATGTCTTCCTGCCATAAGCAATTAAGGGTGTGTATGAGCCATTTTAATGCAATTATGTGTTTGTCCATTGAGTAGCGCACTGGAAAAAGTATATTAGGGCAATTGGTTAATGAGACAACAGGTGTGTATTGGTAGTAGGGAAGCACTGTTTTGGACGGGTTTGGATCGTGCTTCATCATGCCAAATTATTGGATTATGTGTTTGGACTGAGTTGAACTGTATGCTGTGTCTACAAGGTAGGCCTATGGACTTTTGTATCCTATGAACTAGACAAAATTACACCACGGGAAGCTAATTGGAAGCAATGTTTACTCATTGGAGCACAATAAAGAAGGACACTGTTGCATTTTACTTCGGTTTTGCATGGACTTATTTTTACGCGTCAATTACTTGCTCGCTCCTATTACCAAAAGGCCTACTAGTGTTTTAGTGGAAGCCGCTACAAAGACAATGTAAGTGTGCGGTTTCACACACATTTTATGGATTGTCATAGATGTTTTCAACACCCTCACATGTTTGCTCCGAAGAAAATTGCACAGAATCCAGCCTAACAAGTGTGTTTGGAATTCATGTTAACATGACAATGGTTCTTGTCTGATCAATGCCATAGCTCTCATTTTTCATGTATGATGTAATCTTCATATTCTCTCCATTATACTTCAGCGCTAAACCAGCAAATTTAGTTAGGCTACATACTTTTTCCTTGCTATTATCATTCTCAAGACAGATGGAAATAAGTTGTGAAATCGCAACAATAATTAAACTCCCCTGCCTGCCAGTGGTTGGATATACAGTACAGACTGTCTCACACCAACATTGACATAACAAAGACATAACATTGAATGAGTAAAACATGAAAGACTGTTGATAATAGATGTTTATTATTTTTATCAAAGACCAGCTATTTGACTTCAAGTTCAGTATTCATCAGAAAATAAATCAGTGTTTTATCAGACTGCACTCACACAGTTTCAGTCTGCTAAAGCATTCACAAGAATTTAAGAGGTTGTCCTATGCGGTCATTTTCTAGGTGTTTTTTAAGGAATGAGAGTATCTTCTCACTGAAAAGATTTGAATGGTAATCTCTGGAGTCTGCATCCGAAGTGAAGCTCCTTTTTTCCTTGCAGACGTCCTTCACTCCCCAGCTTATGACACCAACCTATCAAAGATTTTACAGATATTTAAAAAGTTCCTAGTTCTCAGCTTCTCTCAAATGAGTCTTTAATTTCACTCTGTAATATGTAACACATTGTACATGAGATTTTACAGCCACATCATCAATACTGTTTTCATAAGGAAATCTCACCTGAATCACTCGACCTTTTTTATTCACATAAGTGGCCCCACCTGAGTCTCCTGTTACAAAATAACATGCAACACAAGAAACTATATAAAAATTTTATAAATTAATTTTAGATCTCTAATGATTAAAATGTTATCAATAAATACAGTAGATTAGAACCAAATGCAAGCTGTCACTTTGATGGCAAAAATCAAACATACCTTTGCAGGCAACATCATCTGTTTTTGGTTCATTACCACCACTGCACAGAAAATTGTCTGTAACTGCTTCCCTGGCATTTTTCACATTGATTCCTTTTGCTTTTTTTGCATCTTCAACACAAGCATCCCGCTAAAGAAAAAGTACACCAAGAAGTGTTCTTAGCTTGTTGATGATGACTGAAATATGTTTTTTAAATTAAGCTTTTCAAACTACACAGATTGGAAAGATTAGAAATAAGAAAAATCATTACATATTTTCCAAGCTTGATTGTGATGTTTTTTATGTTTTTTGGACAATTATCAGTATCCATTTCAGACGTGAAAGCAGCTTCCACAAGCTCGTTGCTCATTAGTATTTCCTCTAACAAATGAAAAAAGAAAAAGGTTTGACATTTTATGTTTGATAAGTTTCATTGTATAAAAGCAATCACATGTTTAATATAGTTTGTTTCATATTTCTGATATGGTTCTTATATGCATGCAGCATGTCTGACAGGGACCTTACCATGTTTTACACAAGTCCCTTCACTATCTGAAAGTTTCAGAGCTCCATTTGTTTCTCTAGTGCATGGAATGCAGATTGGTCTGTAGAGAAATACACATGATGTTATTTAATTACTTCTTCTTTTTTCATATTCTCACTAAAGTAGCATCACATGTTGAAGATCTGTGCTCCTCACCGTAGATTAAAACTCATCTCAACAGCTGTAACCAGCTGTATAAGAGCTACATCAAATTCGTAATATTCCTGTATTCCCATATGCTGTTTTGCTGTGGGGTTATATTCAGGATGAAGTGTGAAATTTTTCACTTTTACAACTGCAAAAGTAAATGTAAACATCATTAATAAGATTTACCCTGTGACACGTTTTACTTCAGTCTGAAAATATGGATGTATCAGGACATACTCAGGTCTTTTTCCAGTTGAACTATTATCCTATCAGGTGTGTCTCCCTCTTTGAAGCAGTGAGCCGCTGTCAAGATGTAACTTGAGGAAACTAATGACCCCATGCAATTGGAACCTTTTGAAGAAGTATGCTACACGAAGAGCAGAGAAGACTGATGTTCATAAGGTACAACTCTTTAGCCATAACGTGCATGTTTCTTCTTGTGGGAGAAAATGTTTCCTTTAACTTCATTGAGTTCTATAATAAAGTGATAAAAAGGTTATGCTCACTTGAATATTAATCTGTGCTAACCAGGGAAATGCACGGCGTTTATTTTCCAAGCCTTCCCACACAATCCCACACAATCCTACACTGGTGCTCTCATCTGTGTAAAGAAGCAGGTATAAAGTGTTAATAATAATAATAATAACAACAGCAATTAATTATAATATTACAACAGAGTAAATTATATAGAATTATTACAAGAGGTCAGGAACTGCGAAACTGATTCATCCAAACAATAGTGTTATTGCAACTGTGGTTGTTTTTTTTTTGTTGTTGTTGTTTTTTTTTTTTAGAGCATAACAGTCATTTCTCTTTTGTGTTTTACAGAAAACATGAACAACATGAAGGTGATTAAATAATTACAGAAATTTCACTTTTGGGTGAAGTACAGTTACAGTACCAATCATGTCGTTAAACATCTCCTGCACCTCTGTCAAGTTTTTAAGCTTAAAGAAATATTTTTCTTGGTCCCTCTGTGACACTAAGCCATTTATGTCTTCTTGATTCACGTCATCTCCAACTCCAAATACATAAAGATCTGGAAAGAGAGGACACATCCAAATCAATATGAAATCAATGATAAAGACTAAACAAATATGTGTATTTTTTTGCTGTCTCTGATGATACTGCTTGTGAATGAAAGACACTTAAAAAAAAAACACTTTCAGTTCAAACATTTTGATTTAAAATATAATTATGATTAATAAATTTCATGGTCACCAAGATTTTTCTCTCGCATAGGAACATTTTTGGTGACAAGATGTTTGATCTGTTCCACTTTAGGTCTGGGATTCCCCCCCATGTTTGCCTGACCTATAAAGTAAGATGAAATAAATTAGTGAATATTTGCTTAATTTTGAATAAATGATCTCAAAATTGATTCTAATTTGTAATACTGTGCATTGAGTGTTTTATTAATATATTAATGTATTTGTTCCGATAAAGAACTTAAACAGATTAATTAGAGATGCATATGTATATACTAAATTGTACGTAAATACTGAAAAGTCAATACCATCAGTGAACAGTATGACGATGTGTTGGGTCTCACTGAAAGTCGTTGCATTGTTGAGCTCCTCTATTTTCATGCTGCCTAAAATGGCCGTATAGAGTTTGGCGATATTGGTACCTGTTTTATCACCTCTATCTGTTTTTTCACACCAGAATATTACAGTCAGCAGGTTAGAAACATTTTCTGATTGAAACAACTGACTAAATCTAAATGAAAATGAATCAAAATTAGAACATGAATTGGGATTTTTTTTTAAAGAATGTAAGATTTTTTAAATGTTTACTTTCACATTGGATTTAAGCTTAAAGAAATATTTTTCTTGGTCCCTCTGTGACACTAAGCCATTTATGTCTTCTTGATTCACGTCATCTCCAACTCCAAATACATAAAGATCTGGAAAGAGAGGACACATCCAAATCAATATGAAATCAATGATAAAGACTAAACAAATATGTGTATTTTTTTGCTGTCTCTGATGATACTGCTTGTGAATGAAAGACACTTAAAAAAAAAACACTTTCAGTTCAAACATTTTGATTTAAAATATAATTATGATTAATAAATTTCATGGTCACCAAGATTTTTCTCTCGCATAGGAACATTTTTGGTGACAAGATGTTTGATCTGTTCCACTTTAGGTCTGGGATTCCCCCCCATGTTTGCCTGACCTATAAAGTAAGATGAAATAAATTAGTGAATATTTGCTTAATTTTGAATAAATGATCTCAAAATTGATTCTAATTTGTAATACTGTGCATTGAGTGTTTTATTAATATATTAATTTATTTGTTCCGATAAAGAACTTAAACAGATTAATTAGAGATGCATATGCATATACTAAATTGTACGTAAATACTGAAAAGTCAATACCGTCAGTGAACAGTATGACGATGTGTTGGGTCTCACTGAAAGTCGTTGCATTGTTGAGCTCCTCTATTTTCATGCTGCCTAAAATGGCCGTATAGAGTTTGGCGATATTGGTACCTGTTTTATCACCTCTATCTGTTTTTTCACACCAGAATATTACAGTCAGCAGGTTAGAAACATTTTCTGATTGAAACAACTGACTAAATCTAAATGAAAATGAATCAAAATTAGAACATGAATTGGGATTTTTTTTTAAAGAATGTAAGATTTTTTAAATGTTTACTTTCACATTGGATAGCAATGAATGCATGCATTCTCCTCAAGTTAGACTTAAAAGTACTATTTTTGCATAGTACATTACTCTGTAGTGATAATCTCTAAAAAAAATCTAATTATATCCATGTATACAATAAGACTCAAAGAGAGACATTCAAACAGAATACTTACTCTCATAATTAAAGTCGTCCAGCGCTTTAAAAATATTCATTAGGTTTCTTGCATCTTCATTATTTTTGAACTCCCTCATAGTGATTATCGGCGTAACATCTGTAGCAAATATCAGGATCTCATAGTTTGGGGAAACCGGGTAATAACTAATCTTTTGGGGAAAAGCATTGAGAATTCAAAGTTGAAAGCAACATCTGTCTGTTTTCTGATCAAAATGCTGGATTGAAGTTCATGCTTCCATAATGTGAAACCGGATTTTGATTGAGATGCAGCAAGTATGCAGTGGATTGTGGGAGACTACGCCCTCCTAAAACACACTAATGCTCTAATTGGAGGGTTCTGACAATATGAGTTTGAGTTAAGTTCAGTCTTGATAGCATCTCAGTGTATCACAATGGTAAATCCTTTTCAAATATTGATATTTATATTATTACAGAACCTTTAACATCAAAATGAATAGCAGTTAAATTACTGCTTTTAGAATGTTTTTAGGAAAGTCTACATAACCTACATCAGTAGCCTAAATAAGTGGTCTTACAACTTCACCACAGCAACCTCTGGGGGCTGTGTGTTCCCATAAATTATTTGACAATCAACATACCTTGTCTATAAGCATTTTGATGGTGGTTTTTGCATTTTCAAAATTCTTCTGATCTATGCTTTCAGATGCATCCACAGCAATGTAAATATCAAGTTTTCCACCCTGATCCATAGTTATTTTCTTCCCCTGCTGATCTGAAAGCAGAAGGAACATGGTATTCATGTTTAAATGTGCTGATGTGATTTTGTCTCTTCTTCTGAGCATGGCAATTATTAATGAAAATTTTAAAAAGGTGTGTGTATGATTATGCTCTAAGTCACACAAAGGTACCTTCTTTTTCATACTGTTGAGAAACCGCTAGATTTGACTTTAGAGAAGTGCTGAAAGCTTCTGATGCTTCCTCCGGGGTGTCGTATGTGAAACCAGCTGTACAGTATTTACACAACAACAACAACATTATAGGTGCATTGTCCAGAAAAGCCACTTTTCATTAGCTAAATCTTACAACAACTTATTTTTGTGAAAGCATGTACTGCAAAGCACATGATTTTGGATTTTCGATGTAACTTTTAGAAGACTCACCATAACATTGTGGCTCTGTTCCTGACCACTGGCCTCCATCCAGACACACTCGCACTTTGGAACCAATCAAGGTCAATGGACTCTCACAGCGGTACGTGACTTTGTCGTCTATGTTAAACATATTCCCTGTTCGACTGCTACCAGGGGGAACACCAGGATCAGGACAGTGATCAGCTGTGCGACAGTAAAAAAAAAAACAGACAACTGGAAGTGGAGATCTGTTGACCTACATTTGAACAACCCTGTTTTAGTCAGATGCATGGAGAGAAATTTCTGCTAAAACTTTGATGAACTCACGTGACATCAGATAAAAACAGAACAGAAGTACAAAGTAGTTTATTTTTAAGATGAACTCAAGGACTCTGTTATATGAATTTTACTTAGGAGATGTTACACCAGGAACTCAATTTCTCTTTAAGTCAGACTAGTTCATGGAAACTTTTGAGGTCGTTATAATATAAAAAACAGCCTACTGTAAGTTTCATAGATTGTGTTCATTAGCTGTTTAGAAAAGCGTGGAAAAATAAAGACTTGTCTTTTCAAAACTTTGTGTTTCCTGAGTCGTGCAATGTATATGTTTCACACCATTAATCTGTTTCAAAGTGAGCAGGGGTGTAAAAAGTACAAAAAAATTATACTCAAGTGAAAATACAGTTATTCAGTGAGCATTTTACTTAATTAAAATACTCAAGTAAAAGTAAAAAAGTACAAATTTTAAATAAATAAATAAAGAGATTCTT